TGGTAGCAGTGTAGTGATATGTGGTGAGGGATATGCAGACTTGTGTTTTATGGCGTATTGCTGGTCTCTGCGTCCTTGCAGGTGGCTACAAGGCATTGATCTTTTATTAGGGTCCTACAAAGGAGAGACACAGGGCTGGAGATAGCCTGTCACTACTTCTTGGAGATGTTACTGCATGTGGGAATTAAAGGCCTTCAGTTCATGCTGCCTTTCCTGGGCAGTGACAGAAGTAGCAGCACAGTAATTGCTGAAGCGTCCCTTGTATCTTTGAAGAATACAGGTTGATTTTCTTCCAAAGTATTCAAGTCCTCTTCTCCCCTGAACCCTCTTTTTTTAATCCCTTGAAGCATGTTAAGGAAGCAAGTATTGTTGGTGGCTTGCTTTATTCTCTCTTTATTTTCATAGCAAAGCATGCATCTGGTAAGTGCCCGTATATAGCTTTACAGTCTCTGCCTGTGTTGAGTGCAGCCAAATTATTTTCTTAATAATTGCCTTTGTTTATGTTCCCTTGAAAAATTAAGATATTTTAAGGTTGTGGGGTTTTTTTGTTTGTAGATAATCATCTTGGTGATCAGTCCTCCACAGACCAATATTTTCTAAAGAACTTAGAGGAGCGTTGCTTCTTTTACAGACTCTGTTTGCTCTGTAACAAGTTCTCTTGGGCTTAGCCTTGACATAAGGAGTTTTATTCTTGGGTCCACGGGGAAGTAACCCAAGAGGTGAGCAAAGTAGGTGGAGTGTTTCTCTACCTATCCAGAGCAGTGAATTGTATACTTCCTTCTCTGGGTTCAGAGCTGCAAATCTCTATCGGAGAATTAGACTTGCCTGTGATGGTTGGACAGTATGACCAGTTGCTGGTTCCAGATACCTGAAAACCTTGGAGTGCTCAGCCTGTATCTATCCTGGTGTACGTCTTTTGGAAAGGTGAGACAGTCTAGTGGAGGCTGAAGTTGCATTTCCCGTGGCTGATGTTTCTCTCAGCTTTTGCTAGTGTGAATGTTGGAACTGAGAGGGAGAGTACAGATTTGATGCAGAGGGATAGCCACCAGCCCTGACGAGCTTTGTACCAGCTTGCTTGAGGTTAAAGGCATAGACAGCTTAAGGCAAAAGTGCAAATCTGAGTACTTGCTAGCTATAGTCAGAACTTCCAAATCAGGATATAGCACTTGTTTTCTCACTGCACCACCTGCTTACAACCTTTTTCTCTTTGTTTGCAATTTAATAAGGCAAATGAGGTTATTATATAACACCAGAGCACATTTGTCTTGATCATGAAAGTTGACATAGAAAAAAAAATTTAATAAAGAGTGGCTGGAGTCCCTAGATGCTGCAGCTCTTTTTCCAGAGCCTCTTTGATCACAAAAAAAGAGCTGTGGTTGTCGTTTCTTCTGCCTTGTGTGACCGCAGGTGGTCACACCACTAATGATTAAATCTCTTGGGTGATCTGACATCTGCTCTTTTGAATCATACTTGCTTTGGGTTTTACATGCCCATTTCTCACTGTAGCATCTGAGTGTTTCATGTTGGCCGTCAAATTCCAGGATGCTATGCTTTCTGCTGAAACATGCCAGCTCCCTCTTTAAGATTCTGGAGTGATACTGGAACTAGTTTGTTACTTTGTGGAAGTCGCTTCCATGTGTAAGATATGAACAGTTTATTTGCACTTTTGGGGTGTGTGTGTTACATGAAGGCTTGGCATCCATTGGGTAGAGTTGTAGAGCTGAGATATTTCTAATCTGCAGCAATTTGTTTTTATGTAATACCTAATTCTGATAATGGAGCATAGCAAGGAAATGTGCTGCTTCCTTCTCAGTGCACTGGAGGTTGAGATAAAGGAAGAGTCAGTCTTGCTGAGTGACATTCAGTCTTTGCTTTCCTTCCTGACTTCTGTTGGGAATATTTTGAATTTTCCCTATTAAAATCTTCCTTGTTCCTGCAGTCCCTGTCTGTTATGGGAAGCAATTCTGCTTTTATTCTAAATATGTGGTCAGGCCTTTACTCAAAGTCTTTGTAAAACTGTCTTGTTTCTCCAGTTAGTTTGGTCACAAGAGGTAATAAATAGCAGTGTAGCATGGGATTTTGCCCGAGTCTAGTCATTCAGAAGGCTGTTGCTGTTTTTCCTCTTTCTTGCTACAAATCTCTCATTTGTTACCTTGCACAGAAAAAAAACTGTGTCTTGTGTCTGTCTCCGGTAGCATTTCTCACAGTGTCTACCATGTTTCTCTAATGTGTTTTTTTAGGAAAGGTGAGAATCTGGAGCTCGTGTGAGAGGCTGCATTGAGAACCTGTGAAACTGAAGTGTACTGACAGCTGAACTGTGACAATGCGAGCAGGAGCACCCGGGGCTTTTCCTGCTTTGCCCCACTACTGTGTGCTCCTCTCTTTGCAGGGGAGCAGTGGGTCCTGAAGAACAGTCTGCAGCTTCTGGGTGTGAGGAAAGAAACAGTTTGGTAGTAGCTAGGGGAGTCCTGCTTCTGAGTGTGAGCATCTGTCAGTCAGCAGCTGAACTGAGTTTGGCTTTAGAAAGGTCACTAAGAGAATTAGGATTGGGGAGAGTCTAGGAAATCATACTGGGGCTGTATAATCTCATCTGGCCTCAAGAGGTGAAAAGCTTGGCCTTCTCATCCTGCGGGGCAGGATTACCATCACATGGTAATGGTTTTGATAGTGAAGCAAGTTTAAGAAGTCCCCTTCTTGTCCCTGCTTCCCGCTCTGTTTCATGACTGGGCAATTACAGCTGTTTATCTGGCTGCGGTAAATTGGGTCATTGAACTGATCTGAGTTAAAAATAGGCATCCCAGACATCAGCAGCATTGATGCAACAGAAGAGTTGTGACCAGTGGCAGGGAGGATCGTAAACTTGTTTTGCTGCCGGAACCTAAGTATCTCATAACTGTGCTGCTGCTATGTTATCTGGTTGCTTTGTTCAGTGTTGTCAGTCAAATAGTAGATTTGAAAGCAAAAGGGTTTGAGGTTGGTTGTGGTCAGCCGATCAAAAAATGCCATCTCAAAATTAGCTGTATTCCTCTCGGATTAACTTGTATGCTTTGCAACTCTAAATAATAATTTCCTGCCTGCTGAATAGGCCCAGTCAAGACAACTAATCAGTGTGCAAGCATTGCTGCGAAAGAGTGAGGATACAGAGTCTGGCTGCCAGCGATGCATGAAGTGAAACAGAATAGGTCTAGGCTTCCTGCAGCAGAGCCAGGTCTTCTGATGGCTGGGCTTGATTTTGCAAATTTGTTATCTGCAGGAAGGCTCCTAGGTTTCCTCCTTCTTTTACCTCTCAAATGATTCATTATTAAACACCCTCCCCCAAAAAAACAACCCCAACCAATCGCCCCACCCTCCCCCCAAAAAAACCCCAAACCAAACAAACAGTCACATCACATTTACAGAAAGTCTTTCCTAACCTGCTGTGGTAGGATCAGAAAGGACAATTCGGAGAGGGTGGATGGTGTTTCTTAAATGTACAGGAATGGCTGCAGGCAAGTCTAATCTGATATCTTTTCATTTTGTGAAGCAAGATAGGGAATTTAAAGAATGTGTGAAGACCCTGCTAATTTTCACCTATTACACAGTTGTTTTATGTGGTAACTATCTCTTCAGTCTCTTGTTTTGTGAATTTCTCCAGCATAGGCTGTGTTTCTGTGTTATTCGCAGCCTGCTCTGCTCTACAGGCTGGAATATAGTTTGCATACAGCAGTGCTCCCTGGACTAGCTCCTGCAGATGTCCAAGTACCATGGAAGGAATGTGTTGTGTCCTGAGATATCTCTCTGTTTCTGCTACCTTACTCTTTGATCCTCCTTTGTTTTGCTTCTCTTCAGCTTAATGAATATTTTCTTACACAGATGTATAGCACTCTGTGTGATGAAACCCTGTAATGAGCAGCTGTAGACTGGTTTTTTACAGTCTGAATGAGCAAGACACACAGAGAAGACAAGTTTGAAGGGAGCTGTGTAGGCCTAGCAGCAGAGTTTGGGTTAGAAAACCATATGGACACTCTACTCTCTTCATTAATCAGGCTGTCCTAACAGTATTGTATTTGTGAGTTTACAATTTCTAACATGCTTGGAGAAATTGATTTCTTCTCTATACCCTCCTCTGTGTCCCAGGAACTGTTGTTATTTTTGTGAGTAAAAACATGGGAGGCAGACTCTTTGGGAATTGCTGAGGGAGAGGTGAACAAGGCTGGCAGGATGGAAACATGGATGATGCCGCATAGCCTTCTCCTGGCTGAACTATAGAGCAGTGGTATTGGCCCAGCTGCATCCAGGAGCGTGCATGCTGCTCTGGTGCATGTGTTGAACACAACTGAAAGATTTTGGTGACCGTTTAGGCTTTATATGTGAAAGGATCCTAAGATAAAGAGGCTTTTTTCAAGATAGTTACTAAGGAAAAATCCAGTCACCAGAAGGAATGAGCAGCTCCTGGGAGTCTCAGAGTGGAAGAACTCTCATTAACCTATTTGGAGCAAGGGCGTGCGTGTACATGCATGCCCTGTAATTTCATAGCTGCTGTTCTTGGAAGGGAGCGGTGGTTGTGTTTCTTGGAGCTGAAGTGTAAGATGAAATACTGCATTTTGCTAATAGGGTTGAATGACCTGAAATATATCCATCTGGAATATGAGGATGGGAGGAGGGGACAGGGTTATTTCTGATGAGTCTTATCGCCAGCCTGAACTGACTTTTTACCAAAGCGTGGTCTTCGTTTTCAGCACAGTACTGAGCAGAGACTTGTTAAGTATCATACTAAAAATAAAATTGTGGTTCCCAAGAGCATTCAGATAAGCAAGAGACTCCTACCTCACTGTAGTTGCCTTGGATTTATTAAAAATCCAATATGTCAACCTTACTACTTGTGCCTTTCTCCTCAACTCCATTGCAAACGCTTTCCTAAAATAATTAAGGGAGCAGAGAGTGGAAGTCGCTGAATAAAGGGATGATAAAATGGAAATGTGTTTACTGTAATGACCTATTTGGTCTTTCCTTTAGGCACAATGGCTACAGTAGCCCAGAAGCACTTTTTGGAAGGGCAGACGTACTCAGTCCCCCTGATCCAACCGGACTTACGCAGGGAGGAGGCTGTTCAACAGGTGGCAGATGCACTGCAGTATCTCCAAAAGGTGTCGGGCGATATCTTCAACAGGTACGGTGCTGTCACAAGGGGGTTGGGGGCTCAGCATTCAGCAGTAGGAAGCAGAGTGCTGTGATAAGGTTGCAGCAGTGAAAGAGCATTGCGTTAGCAAGCAGTGGAAGTCCAGAAAAGGGATGAAGAAGGACCAGATGCACTTCAATAAAAGTTTATTGGATTCGGGTCTGTCAAAGCTAAGCATAATGAAATGGCTGCAGTTAGCCAGAGGTTGTTTGTTACTAATTTTTTATTCAGTGGCAGACTTCCACAAATTGCATTACTGCTTCTGCTGCAGTTATCCTTTATTCCTTCTTGCTCATGTTTTAAATGGGAGACTTCCTTATTTAGAGTATCTTGAAGATATGTCTTTTTGAGTCGTCGTACTTGGAGCAGTGGAATAGAAAATGCCTCTTTGTTCTGATCTCTGGGACTTACAAACTATTCTCTTTAGGATTCTGGTGTTTCACACTTCTCTTTTTTTGTATGTTGGGAGGGCTGAGTGCATGACAGTGTCTGTTCTTCTCGCCACAGTCTCATGATTGATCTAAACTGATCTTTTCAGGGATTTGGCCCAGACTTGCTACCTCTTGCATATGGTCATCTCTAGGATTGGATCTATAAGACTACCTATGTAGCAGATCAGAGAGATTCTTGTGTTTGCCTGCAAATGATGGTAGATAGCGTGGTGCCTTTTTTTATCTGATGCCATCTTTGATATCTCAGTGCCCTGAGATGGCATATCATATCATATCATTGATACAGGAACAGGTCAGCATTTATCTTCTCATAGCCTGATTAGCAAAAGTGCTTGCTTTGGTTTGAGTGAGCATCATGACTACCTAGTGTGACTTATTATGGTGTGAGCAGGACCGTGGCATTCTTTCTTCTTTTCAGTTTTTTGGGGGGTTTTTTTAAGGGCAGATTGAAGTTCTTTGAATTTAATTTTTTTTTCTTTTTTTTTTTTATAGCGATAGTTTGAAGGGCAGCCTCTGGGGAAAGGATAGTCACTAAGGTTGAGCTCAGGTCATTGAGGCAAATAAAGGCTTTTCATTGGAATAGTCTTTGTTTGGGCAAGGGCTCCTGGGGAAGGGCCAGGAGCCTGTGTAGTTTGGATTAAGTTGAACACAAGGTCTCATTGTCTTGTGCACTTCTCAGTATGGGAACCCTTCATAGTATAAGGCTGGGAGAAGGCTTTTTAGAGTTGCCAGAAACATGTGGAAGGCACCTCTCAAACTTGTGACTGGTTGGCAGTGCTGTCCCTCTCTGTGGGGCAAATAAAGCTATTGATGGAACAGGAGTGGTTCTTTCTCTGTCTCTTCTCCCCCCACCCCCACTCACTACTTTGTAACGCAGTACCCTGTAATTTCCCCGGGGAGATAAGCTGGCTGCTTTGTATGCAAGTCACTCCTGAGTCCTGAACAGTGACTGTGATGCTGTTCCCTCGCTCTTTGGTGCACTCATGACTTTTAATTACCATTTTTTTTCCAACAACAGAGGAGGCTTCACTGGGCTCTTTGTTTGCTTTGCCTTTCCTCTGAGGTCTCTGCTCTCTGATATAATTAATAACGATTTAGTAATTATGCAGGCATCTGATTAAAAGTTCCATGACCTTGGTTGTTCCATGCCAATCAAGGGGCAAAGCTTTCAAGGTAAGAACTTTGCCACTTAGTGAAGAGTGACCTTTTATCTTCCCTTTCCTGAGATAAGGCAGCTCTATCTTCCATTTCCAGGAAGGAGCTGCCTTATCTGGGGAAGCTGAGTGTTCTGATCTGCAAAACAGCAGCTTGCAGTGTTGATGGAGAGGAAACTTGTTCAGTATGGCAGACTTAGCTGAGTGTGTCAAACTCATTACTTCAGTACTATAAAGATGCAGATGTTCTGGGGTTGTTTTGTGGGAACACTTGGATTGGTACAGTGCTTTTGAGAGTGGCAAGCTGATTTGTAATTTGTTGAAGGTAGAATGAGAGAGTCTCTCTTACTCTCTGTGGAAAGAGGAATCTGTCCACAACCAAATTTTTTTTTTCCCTTGTTACCTGATCAAAGCTTCTGCTTTGAGTTGTTAGCTGACATAGCAATTGAGTATGAATTCTTAAAATGAACATGTCCATCCATTGTTCAAGGAAGGTGAGCTTTTTCTCTCTTTATGTGGAAACTGGCTGAAGGCAACTGTGGTACTGTTGTGGTTGTAGAAGAAATATTCCGTGGGCCAGTTAGTGGCTGTGCAGAAGCAGCAGCGGTGAAAAGTGCCTGGGGATTCAGTCTTCTCAAGGGGACACAAGAAAGACACCTTTGCATTTGGAGAATTAGGAGAAAGAAGATAAGCAGCTTTCCTCCCTTTCCCCCTGGTTTGGGTGATCTGGGAAATAAGCTATGAGACAAGCCTCTGCCAAGCTGTCTTCTTTCCAAATGCTCTCAAGGTGACTTGCTATTAACTGTGGCAAGGTACCTGGTGAATGAGGCACTTTGCAGAGTTCATTAGTTTGTAGAGAATCAAGGGATGTGCAAGTGCAAAACCACAAGTAAACTATGGCTGAGACCCAGAGCAGACCCACTGGGAACAGCCTCGAAGAGTAGGCCTACCAACCCCTAGCATCTAAACCTCCTCTGTACCTTGCTAACAGTGCACTTGGACTGTCATCTGGAATCACTAAGAAAGAGCAGGGGGTGGCTTGGCATCCCTCTCTGTCATATTCCTAACCACTGGGAGCAGGGACCCATATGGCCTCTTCCACATGGAGAATGGCAAAGTACCACGTCCTGCAGAGGGAGAGCACTGCCCTGGGCAGGCTGCTGGGCAGTACAGGTTGATGTCTTAGGTCAGTACTGTCAACAGTCCTGTCCTCTTAGGACGTCCCGTCCTCTTGGTGCTGATATCAGTCCTGTGAAGAGATCAAGAGGCTGCACGTACTTTCCAGGATTGTGTTTTGGAGTAATGGAAGTTTTAACCTTGTGTATGCTAACTGAATTCATGTAATTAATCTGCTGTGGAAGCTGCAGTGAAGATCAGATTCGTTGCCTGTAGCTACTGAGATTTTAATACATACCATTACTGCTTAAAACATAAATATTCTAACATAGCCAATCTGACATAATATCTATATAAGTTTAACTCCTGGACTTTTAAGGAGGGCTTTTGATATAGGTCACAGGAGGCAGAATGACCAATTTAAGCACTCAATTAACCAGTAATCTTTCATCTATTTGTTTCATCATTACCAGCATTTTCTGGGTGACAGCTTGTGTTGGAATTGTGTGCTGGGGATTTTTTACAGGAATGTTGTGATCAGTACTTCAGATAGGTGGTGGGTTTAGCTTTTCTGAGAAACCCCCCTGGTTAGCTAGGCTTGCCCTTTGGGATTTCTCAATTTCTGAGGAGAGTTTTTGTTGCCAGGAGATGTTAATAACCTCTAATATGTTGGTTCATTATTCAGAGCGTACACTTTGTATAACAGATTTGTAGAAAATTGCCTGTGCAAGTTTTCTCATGGAGTGTTATAGCAGTAGAAAGAAAACAAATACTTGGGGTTGGAATGTTGTTATCAAGGTCCTGGTTTCCTTTGCCTGTGATCCAACCACAAGTTCTCCAGGATACAAAATTTCTCATACTTGTGCTTCTTGTTTCCAGTTTAAGGAAGAATTTCTGGGTTGATCTTTTTAAATGTCTTTATTCGGTGTTTTTTGCTTGTCTGGAATAGTATTTCACTAAACAGGCATATCCTTCTTGTTCCTCCTCAATGGCATGCAAATTAATTTCATATTAAATATTTGAAAAGGGCTTTAATATTAAAAAATGGTTTAACTGAGAGCCACACTTCTGAAAGTGGTAGTTGAAAAACAAAAGCACTGTGGAAATGCTGTTAAACGTGGGGAGGAAGTCTAGTAAATGTGTGGTTAAGGAAAGTAAGAAGTGGCTGGGCAGCAGAGCCTTAAGGGGAATATTTGGGACAGGAGCAGCGTTGAGATGTGAGTAGTCCTGAAATTGAAAATGTAGACAAACTTCAATCATGAGGTGCATTTGGGTGTTCCCCTCCTTGTTTTAAACTTAATGCTGTGATTGGTCATGATGATCAATAATGGAAGTGGGTAACTGAATTTCTCCATAAGAATGTATTTGATTTAGGACATCTGTAGAATGTATTATTAAATGTTCATGGAAACTTGCAAAGAAGGGTCTTGCTGCAAGCTGTAGTTGTGCACTGTGGCTCTGGGATGCAGCTTGGGGCTTGAACACTGCATTGTAGTTGTTCCTCTACTGGCTGTAAGGGTTTGATCTTACTAGGAGGAGAGCTGTCAAAAGGGCTTCATCATGATGGGTCATCATACAGGTGAGTTTACACCAGCAGGCTGGCTGTAGCACAGGGAATCAATTTTTCACCAGTTAATTTGAGAGTGATGTGGCTCTTGTTAAGCATCAAGTCATCTCATGGTAGTTTGAAGTTGTCCCAGAGGCCATCTGAGAAAGGATGCTAGGTCTATTTTAGTTTCAGAGACCTGTCTTGAGGTGCTGTAGGAGCAGTTGTTTGCTGACAGGAAGATTAAGCAGAAACAGTGAGGTAAAAGAGTGAGTGGATGGTCCTGCATACATGGGGACATGGAGCATGGGGAAAGACAGAGGGAGGAATTTTGCCTGCAGATACTGATTATTCTTGTAGAGGCATGTCCAAATAATGTGGATTTTTTTTTCTGGGTTTTTTTTTTTGGTGTGTAGCACATTTTTTTTAAGAAACCACTCATTTGTTTCAGCTCTCATGGTCCTCTGGAAGCTAAATTTGAAAGCTTGTAAAGATGTAGCTTGAGAGAGGTTCCCAAACTATTGCAAAGACTGTAGGAGGCAACATATAGGGGTCAGATCAGCATGCCTGAAGGTTGGTGGCAGCTGGTAGTAGCGAGTATCCTATGTCCTCAAGAAGAGGCGAAGAGATAGCAACTGTTCTGCAGGAGTCCAGATTACAGCTCTTTCTGGATGCTGCTAAAAATCCCTATGCTTAAAATCTTGAGGGCTCTGAGGCCCAGGC